ATCCGGCTAGGAAAGTCACATGAGTCCTGCAGACTGGCAGCATGGCGCACCGGCGCTCCAATTCTCATCCATTCAGAGGGAAACAGCTACAAGCCAACAAACAGCCCTTGGGAAGCAGCTCTCTTTAACAGTGTTTCTCAGTCTAGCAACTTCAAGATGTTGTGGACTTCAACTCCCAGAATTCCCGAGCCCGTTCCATAAAACAAAGACTTGTAGCTTAAGCTTTAAAGCATCATTTGTAGACATGCTACTATGAATCAGAGGTAGGCAGTCTGAAAATTCCACCTGTTTGGGACTTCAGCTCCCATCGGCTCTAGTCAACACGACCAGCGATAGTGGATAATAGGACCTGTTGTTCATATTCCCTGCCCCTGAGATACATTAAATGGTAGTACTAAAGATCCTATCATATGAACAGCCATGGGTATTCAGAACAAGCCAAGATGATATCACAAGCATTAAGATGTCATTCTGCAAGCCTTGTGATCTGCCTCTTTGCAATGAGATCAGTGGTGTATATTGTCAAGCCCCCCCCCCTCCTGCAGTTGCCCATGTTCATAACCATGATCTAATCTACATTATGCTTACAGCAAGGGAGATCCTGAATCTGGGCTATTTTAAAGTTGGGGTCATCGTCTAAGGCCATCACGGAGGGGAGGATGTCAATGAACATTGGAATCCAGGTGCCCCCAACTCAACCTGTTTACATGAGATTTAACTGGAGTCAGACTGCAGGGGAATCTATCAGGCTCTGATGTCACGATGAGTAGATGGTGTCTTGGACCACACACAGTTTGTGCCCTTTTCCTCTCCTCTACAACCTAATTGGAGCCCAACAAAGAGATAGACAGGGATGGAGAGCTTCAGGAGTCCAACAAGGAGATAGACAGGGATGGAGAGCTTCTGACACAGAGCTACTGTATCTGGAATGAAAAATTAGAGACAGGCCCTGGAAGGCCACCGTAATGCTATGTGGGACCTTAGGAGACTGCTCAAAGAGATGCTACCAAGGGAACAATCAGTTAAGGAGTCAAGGAGAGAAGCAACCTAGAACTAAGGAGAAACTTCCTGACAGTTAGAACAATTAACCAGTGGAACAACCTGCCTCCAGAAGCGGTGAATGGTCCAACACTGGAAGTTTTTAAGAAGAGACTGGACAGCCATTTGTCCGAAATTGTATAGGGCAAGGGTAGGCAACCTTGGCTCTTTTATGACTTGTGGACTTCAACTCCCAGAATTCCTGAGCCAGCCATAGGCAGGTTTCCTGAGCCAGCCATAGGCAGGTTTCCTGCCTGAGCAGGGGGTTGGACTAGATGACCTCCAAGGTCCCTTCCAACTTTATTATTATTATTATTATTATTATTATTATTATTATTATTATTATTATATTATTATTATTATTATTATTATTATTATTATTATTATTATTATTATTATTATTATTATTATTATTATTAAGCCAACAGCCACAAAGAAAACTTTTGTAGGGCAAATGTTATCTCCACAAGAGATAAGAAAAGCCAAAATGCAGGGCAGAGGTGTCCAGGTGAAGGAAAGTGAAGATGGTGGCTGCAGCTGTGGGACTGAAGCATTTATAAATGGGCAGGGCACCATGCATGCCTCTTAATGGAGAAGGGCTGGGTGAGGAATTCTGGGAGTTGAAGTCCACATATCTTAAAGTTGCCAAGATTGAGAAACACGGTGTTTAATGTGTTTGTTTGAAACAAACGAACGAACAAACAAATTGGTATTAATTGTAGCTTTCTTTTTGTTTTTATTTGACTCACTGCCCAGAGCCTTCTAGCTGTGGATGGACAGTCACATGAAGGCTTAAAATCATTTTTTAAAAAATATGGTTAAATTCTATGCGTGAGAGTGAACTTAACAACATCCCCCCCTTGCTCCCCACACTCGGTTGTCATTCGACTTAATGTTTCGGTTTTTGTTCACAGCAAAACAAAGAATCCAAAGCTGGCTCCTGGTGCACCCTATTATTAATGTGACAATTTAAGCTATTGAGGCTTGCAGGACCCAAACTGGGCAGCTGCCATTTCTCACTTTCTCATATAAACCAAGATTTTTGTGCTTTTCTTAAAGCAGGAATTTAATTTTTATTTAATTTCATATTTCATATTCATTCTTATTTGATGCAGTGCTACTTACAAACTCTCTCTCTCTCTCTCTCTCTCTCTCTCTCTCTCTCTCTCTCACACACACACACACACACACACACACACACACACGTTCCTATCTACACAGCAGCTATAGTATTTGTATTTGTGTAAAAAGTAACAAAACATTTGCCCACTATAGTGACAGCATATTATAAAACTCACTTAGAGACTTAAACATCAGCATTACTTTTTAAAAGACACTGAAGGGGACAAGAATGTTTGTTTCCTCCACAGAGAAGCATAGCTGGTGATTCCCTCATTGGGAGTGGCCACAAAACTCTCTGAAAGCTGATACCATTTTTTTTAAGTGAGAAAAGGGGAAAGATTATTAAATGCTAAGACTCTGCAGTGCCTCAGATGGGGATCCCCAAAGATGCCTTGGGAGTCTGAATGCAGCACTGCCTGCAACTCTTTAAAACAGCTGCATCTTTCTCCAGGATTGCAGCAGTCCCATCCTCAGCAGAAGATCAGCAGCTGGCAACTATATATTCATGTGCTAAAGGACTTTCCTGGAATCACATCTCAGGGGCTCCACAAAGCCACTCAATACCAAAATGAAAAGTAACAATAGCACCTAGCACTGCCTTGAACTGCATGTAAATGAAATCTAGCTTTGATTTTCCCTTGGCACCGCCTTGACTTATTGATATGCGCTGCTGACTCACATCACTCAAATGCCAAATGTGATAATAGGAAAGGAGAGGACAGGATATAATATAATAGGAGAGGAGAGGATATAATATGAGAGGAGAGGAGAGGAGAGGATATAATAGGAGAGGAGAGGAGAGGATATAATATAGGAGAGGAGAGGAGAGGAGAGGATATAATATGATAGGAGAGGAGAGGATAGGAGAGGATATAATATAATAGGAGAGGAGGAGAGGAGAGGATATAATATAATAGGAGAGGAGAAGATATAATAGGAGAGGAGAGGAGTTGGAAGGGACCTTGGAGGTCTTCTAGTCCAACCCCCTGCTCAAGACATGGTTATTCCAGCTTGCGGGACTGGCCTAGGGGAAATTTTTAGAGGGGTTTTAAAATAATTTTAATTAGACCAATTACTAATATTTGCCTTTTAATTAAGTTTTAATCTATAGTTTGATATTTTGTATTTTTATCTGGTTGTTAGCCGCCCTGAGTCCGCAAGGAGAAGGGCGGGATATAAATATAAATATAAATAAAATAAATAAATAAAA